TTGTTTTGATTTTACTATTATGGTGACACAATATCATTATTTTTTTTATTTTTTTCGTTGTTTTTATTTTCTTATTATTGCTCTTTACAAAAATTATATACCTGCATACACTTTAACTAATTTTTATTATGCAGTTTTATTTGGCACTGAACTCATATACTATAACACAATATTTTCAAGAATAGTAATACTAATACACTATTATTTTATCATGAAATTTTCAAATTTTTTTTTTTTTTACTGAGTTAACCAATTCTAGGCGACACGTTTTTCAATCTTTGTTTACAATTTCGCTTTCACTGACATATTATAATTATTTGCTGGTTAATGAGAATTATTTAATTAGTTGTATGTTTTTCCTTCTTCTTTGTGATGGCTGAATATACTGAGCTGAATGACGATGTCAAAATAGAATGTTTTACAGAGTTGGGACATGAAAACGATTTTAGCAGACATGTTGACAATTTGAAAATAGTTTATTTAAATATACAAAGTTTGCGGAATAAATTAAATAATTTACAAATATTAATTAATAGTTATGGTTGTGGAATTCATGTTATTGTATTAACTGAAATTTGGCTAAGGGAGTGTGAGAATTGTTTCTTTAATTTACCGGGCTATAATGCTTACTTTTCCAATAGACAAAATTCATATGGAGGTGTTGCGATATATGTTTCAGATACAATTGAGAGTAATTTAATGTACAACGAGGAGTTGGAGAAATCGAATTTCTTAGTAGTAAAATTATTACAACAAAAAATAAATGTGATGGCTGTTTATAAGTCTCACGAAATTGGTGCTGATATTTTCATTCAAAAGGTTGATGAGATAACTGGCAATTTTCCTAACTCATTAATTCTGGGCGATTTTAATATCAATTTATTAAATAGGGATAACAATGTTGTTAGAAATTACGTTAATGCGTTGATTGGTAATGGTTTTCTTATTTGTAATAGGATATCAGAAGCATACGCTACAAGGAAAGGAAAAAATTCAAATACAATAATTGATCACTTTATAACGGATCTGATTAGGAATCGATACCTTCTGTATATTTTAGATACTTCGCTCTCAGATCATCAGCTTATGCTTATTAGTATAGATCAAGAAATTAAAACGGAAAATTATAAAATTTTTAAAAGGATTTTAGATTATGGAAACATAGAGCAAAATAATTTTTTGAATAATTTAGACTCCTATAATAATTTTGATGATTTTAGTCGTGAATTAAGCGATATAATAGCAAATAATACGAGGCAGATTCCGGTTAGTGGAAAAAAGAAAAAAAAAGAATGGATTACTGATGAAATTTTAGACAATATTAAAATTAGGGACTCGTATTACAAATTCAAGAAAAGGTACAAGGACGATTCTCGAATTGAACGATTGTATAGAAATTACAAAGTAAGGGTTGCAAATTTAATAAAGCAGGCCAAAAAGAAATTTTATTCTAATGAAATAATGGTGGATCCAACTAATAGCAAAAATTTGTGGAATATTTATAGGAAAGTTATGTTTAATAAGGACTCGACCTCAAACCGTAACATAAAATCTTTGGAGGTTAATGGTCAGGAAATTTGTACTGATGGTGAAATAGCTGAATCAATGAATGAATATTTTATTGATATTGCTAACGGGGATAGTTGTTCTGCTATTTCGTTTGACCAGGCGTACTTTTCTACATTTACACATAGTATCTTTACAAATTTTGAGCTTAGGCCTACTGATTCAGAAGAAGTGAAATCCACTATCGATTTGCTTAGGTCCGGTGCAGCCACTGGTTGTGATTGTATCTCGACTAAATTTGTCAAGAAGTTTTCAGATAAAATAAACCCTATATTAGTTAAATTTGTTAATGCATCTTTTCGATCTGGCATTTTTCCAAGCTCGCTTAAAATGGCTATTGTTGCCCCTGTTTTTAAGACAGGTAAATCGACAGACAGATCAAATTATCGGCCAATCTCTATATTGAACTCCTTTTCAAAAGTATTTGAAATTATAATCAGAAGCAGGATAAGTTATTTTCTATACAATAATGGAATTTTATCTGGTGAGCAATATGGGTTTGAGAAAAATTCTAACACAACGGCGGCATGTCTTAGTTTGACGTACTTTATTTCGAAAAAACTGGATGAGAAAGATTTTATTGCATGTGTTTTCCTAGATTTCCGAAAGGCCTTTGACAGTGTAGACTATGAAATTCTTCTTCTTAAATTAAAAAAGTTAGGATTTGGTACAAAGGATATTTCATTTTTCGAGTCTTACCTGTATGGTCGTCAACAGAGTGTACGCGTTAATGGTGTTCAAAGTACCTATAGATTAGTCAACAGGGGGGGTCCCGCAGGGGTCAATTTTGGGCCCTGACTTATTTAAAATATATATTAATGATGTGACTCGCTTGAACCTCAAGGGATCGATTCAATTATATGCAGACGATGCTGTATTGAAATATAGTGGCAGGACTGAGGATGAGATAAGAAACTCAATAATTGAGGATCCTGAGGGTTATTGATGAGTGGCTTTCCAAGAATCGTCTCTCATTAAATATAAAAAAGACGAAAATATTGCTTTTTAAAAATAAACAATACGTACATAGGAATTTCTTTTTTGGGGGCTTACCCATTGAGGTGGTCGAACATTTCAAATACTTAGGACTTATTCTAGATTCTAGACTCAGGTATGACCAACATATTAATTACATTGCGGAAAAAATTGCACCATATATATATATATTACGACGTCTTAGAAGAGTTTTTGACACTCATACTTTGTATGTGATATATTCGGCATATATTATGTCCCATTTGACATATTTGAATCCCTTGTGGGGAAATGCTGGCAGTTCCTTATTGAGCAAATTGGATATTTTAAATAAAAAGGCAATAAAATGTATCCATTACTACCCAATTAGATACCCTACAAATAATTTATATACAGGCCCATATATAAGTTTTGAAAATATTTGTATACGTGAGTTGTATATGATCGCATTTAAAATAGTGCACAATTTAATTAAACATAATTTTACTCTTAATAGAAATATCGATTTTCATAGCCATAATACGAGAAACAAATCAAATTTTTACCTTTCGCTTTTCAAAACAAATAGCCAAAAAAAAAATTGTTTGTATAACTGCTTAAATTTATATAACAATTTGCCACAAAATATAAAAGCAATTGAAAATATTGGTAGTTTTAAAAAAGAAGTAAATAGGTTACTTAAGTAATTAAAAAATGCTTTAAAAATTGTTTAAAAAAAAAAATTACAAAAAGAAATTTACAAGAAGAATTTTAAGAATTGTAATATCTTTAATGTTTTTTTTATCAATTGAATTGTATTTGCAAAATTTTGAAATATACTTATATTGTTTTTTTTTTTTCTCATTTGATATTCACTATTAGTTAAATACTTTTATAAGACCAGATAGCTAAGGCTGCGGTCATAAAAATTGTTAACTTTTTAAATGTTTTTTGAAATAAATTTGATTATGTATATTTTAAGATAAGATAATTATACTGAATTACAATATTATTTATATAGTTTCAAAAAATACAATAAAGAAAAAAAAAAAAAAAAAAAAAAATAATAATAATAATAATAATAATAATAATCATAATAATAATAACAATAATAATAATAATAATAATAATAATAATAATAATAATAATAATAATAATAATAATAATAATAATAATAATAATAATAATAATAATAATAATAATAATAATAATAATAATAATAATAATAATAATAATAATAATAATAATAATAATAATAATAATAATAATAATAATAATAATAATAATAATAATAATAATAATAATAATAATAATAATAATAATAATAATAATAATAATAATAATAATAATAATAATAATAATAATAATAATAATAATAATAATAATAATAATAATAATAATAATAATAATAATAATAATAATAATAATAATAATAATAATAATAATAATAATAATAATAATAATAATAATAATAATAATAATAATAATAATAATAATAATAATAATAATAATAATAATAATAATAATAATAATAATAATAATAATAATAATAATAATAATAATAATAATAATAATAATAATAATAATAATAATAATAATAATAATAATAATAATAATAATAATAATAATAATAATAATAATAATAATAATAATAATAATAATAATAATAATAATAATAATAATAATAATAATAATAATAATAATAATAATAATAATAATAATAATAATAATAATAATAATAATAATAATAATAATAATAATAATAATAATAATAATAATAATAATAATAATAATAATAATAATAATAATAATAATAATAATAATAATAATAATAATAATAATAATAATAATAATAATAATAATAATAATAATAATAATAATAATAATAATAATAATAATAATAATAATAATAATAATAATAATAATAATAATAATAATAATAATAATAATAATAATAATAATAATAATAATAATAATAATAATAATAATAATAATAATAATAATAATAATAATAATAATAATAATAATAATAATAATAATAATAATAATAATAATAATAATAATAATAATAATAATAATAATAATAATAATAATAATAATAATAATAATAATAATAATAATAATAATAATAATAATAATAATAATAATAATAATAATAATAATAATAATAATAATAATAATAATAATAATAATAATAATAATAATATAATAATA